ATAAAAAGCAGTCACTATGGTAAAAAAAAATTGAAAATTTAAATTTATTAATTCAAATGCAAAGGGAAACTATCAAGCTGCTATTTTATTTAATTTTCTCAAGCTACTTTATATTAATTAAATTGAAATTGTATCTCCTGACTTTTTGAAAAACGCTGATAGAGCGTAAATTTTATTGTCCGATTCAAAACTTTAATTTAAATGCTTTTATTTTAATTCATGGGTTTGGCAGGAGGTGAAGCTATGTTTGGATAGATAAATAGATGGTTGGAGATTTGCCGATGCATGATAACATAGGAACAAACACAAGCTACTAGCTTTGGGAAGATGGGTCTTTTTGAAAGGAGACAATACATCATTAAAAAAATACATAAAAAAATACAATTCATGGATTTGGCAGGAGGTGAAGCTATGTTTGGATAGATGGTTGGAGATTGGCAGATGCATGATAACATAGGAGCAAACACTAGCTACTAGCTTTGGGAAGATGTGGGTCTTTTTTGGAAGGAGACTTTAAGTCATCATGTGTGGTAACTTGCCTGCCGCAAAGGGTTAAACTAATAGCTTATGTATGATAATGCTGGTATTCATGATGCTTTGCTGGTCTACTTATAAGACTCAGAAGTGAACTTAATAACGAGTGTAAAAAAAGTCTCTGCTTTAGTGCTATGCTCTTAAGTGACAAAAAATGTTCTTTTTGCCACTTCTAGAGTAAAATTAGAGATTAAGCATAATGCCTGTGCATGGCATTGTCAATTAACTTGTGATTTGGCAGAAGAATTTATGGCTTGATTGATTACCTTCTGAAAAGTGTTTCCAGCAATTGTATGCATCTGAAAATCTGAAATTACTCGATGAAATTTTGTTTATTCATTTTTCATTACTTTCTTGTATTAGTGTAGCTTGTCAACTTGGTGCCTACTGCCCAGAACAGTCCTAGATATTGACTTACCTTAAAGGAAGTTCTATGTATTAATCTCTATACTTAAATTTCAAACTGTTGTAAAATATAAATTCTAATTCAAGTTCCATATAACCAATTTTTTGGGCATTTTATTGACGAATTGATTCCCGTACGGCAGTAACAATACATGCATACTGATGGTTTTGTGTGTTTTATTCTCTAAGGGACTTCTCTTATTTATTCTCTTTATTCTACATTGTATCTTAATTCTTAACTGTGTTTTTGTGGGTAAGATATCGTGTTTAATTTAGGCAACTTTGGCTGACTATAGAAGCTTCCATCAAAATTAAGCGAAATGATCAAGATCATGACTAAATTACAATTTATAAATTCTCGTTATCATTAATCGTTATCATTCATATTGTAGAGCGCGAGCGTATGATACGAGTGGATTTGACTATGCAGCCAAGTCTGGCTTTCGGTCTTGCCCGCGTGAGCGTACATGTGACACCTGGCGTACGCGGTCACCCGACCACCTGTTGTTTCATACGCAGCCGTGAGCTCAACATTCAGACCTTACTATAATGCTTTTGATTGCGTAAGATGTTCAAATGTTTGAATTAGTTTTATCTAGCCGGGTAACTCTCACTTTCGAATGTTGTTATACCTAGAGTTAATATATAAAATTTAGTGTGAAAGCGGTTCCTCTGAACAAAGCGCGTTCATGCAAATGTTTGTGTTCTGCGCCACCTGTGATACGTGTTGATACTTTCTATTACCTATGTTGTCGTCGAAATAGATGTTTGTGTCATTATTTCATTAGGGGTTTTAAATACTCCCAAGTTCTTATAATTCCGAATTTTTTATATTAATTAATTGTAAAAGCTGCGTGCCAGGTGATTTAACGACCCATCTGTGAGGCCAAGCGAGGCTGCATGCGTACCACTGGCAGCGAGAGGCGGCGGCGTCTGCTTCAGTTGCTGCTTGATTTTCGTTTGACGCACCAACACCTGTTGCGTCGTAGCCACTTGTGCTGAGTGAAGTTTCATTTTATGATAGTGTTTCAGAAACTCTCAATTCTTTAAAGATGCTCGGAAGTGTCTTAAATACTGCGGAATTATTTTTTGGTTCAGTTTGCACCTTACTTCGTCACTGACACTGGTTAGTCGGAAAACACCCGGTGGTTTGGCTAGCGAAGAATGAATCTTAAGCAAGTGTGGGGTTTTAAGAAGTAGTGAGTTAGTGTAGGAGTGCATATGTAGGGAAACGACTGCATGGTTATTATATTTTACATCCCATATTTAAGAAAAAAAACGTTACTTAGATTTTCATTACCATTCCGTACTGAACACACGTTCGAAAAGTTATTGGGTGCGAGATATGATCGGAAATTTTATTTAATATATGTTCTAAGTTTAGTTGATATTTGCTTAACATGCTCTATCTTCCAGCACATGTTTGCGCTGGCCAGTTCGGTCAATGAACTGCGATGTCTGAGTCGCAGTTGTCTTGCTGCTGCTCGCTGACTTCCTACGTTATCTTGATCTAGCCCGTAAACTTTTTTGCATACTTTTACTAAATTATAAGGATTTTAAAGTAATATTGAATTAATTCGATCCCTGGGAACAGATAATTAGTTAATCATCCATACATATTTTGTACCGAAATAAAAGCATGAAGAAACTAAACTGTTCAGCGAATTATACAATGAACGAAGGAATGAGCGAATTGCTAATTGTTCTAATTCATTGTATTTTCTGCTGCTTTTTGTATTATTTGATTAGAAATACGGTCGTCAGTCTAAGAAATTGTTATGAAGGAAAATGTCTCCCTTATTGGTAAACTTCTTGCATAATTTAGGTTATTAGTTAACTCCTTAACTTTCTATAACGGATCTTCGTGCCGTCAAGAGACTGTAAGAAGGTGCAAGATAACCAAGCTGTAAGATAAGCAGTACGTTCCTATCGTATTTTCCGAAGTCATTTTGTTGCGAAGGCCGAGTGTGCAGGTCAGACAACTGTCGTTCGAAATTACACTTGGGTATTTTCTAATTATTATGAAACTTGGAACTCTATACCTACATCCCTATATGAGTGAGTTGATCTAGAACGCGGGCTTTCTATCTAAATGTGGATTTGTAGTTTTCAAAAATTGTTTGGTTTTTGCTCACCTTTTAATGCATGGTCAAGTTTAAATTGAATAATGGATCACGCAGTGCTTAACTAGTACTGAAAATTTCCCATATGCCGATATGAAGGCTAGTTCCTGAAATCACGAATGATTACGCCGAACTCTTAACACGGTTCAAGAGTGCAGCTGCTATCGTAGTATTTGTTTATTAATGTCGTTGCCGGGTTTCCCGCTGCATGTGCGTGCTCAGACTTTGCGCCAACTCTCATCACGCTGCATTTCGTTGCTTGTATACAAGTGCGTGTTGGCATGTGTTGCTGCTACGTTGGTGCGTGTAGGGTACGCGACTTGTTTTTTTTGTTAGTTAGGAAATGTCTTTGTTCTCTGTGGTCTTGGTCCCATTACCTTGATCTTGACCGCACTCTTGGTAGCTTAGAAAATTGTGTCGAAACTCCAATTCAGTCGGATGCTGATTTCTTATTGGATATCAAAAAAAAAAAAAAAAAATAAATGTCTTGTGATGCTACTTGTGACTTTTTCACTAACTTTGAGAAACTTCGTTGCTATCTTGTTGTTTTATAGACTATATAAAACATAAACTTTATATAAACTTATAAAGTTTTGAAGCTCTGCGCACTTACTGAGAATATTATAGACAGGAAACTCCGGTAAATTTCTCGATAACTCTTGATTCTTAGGTTTTTAAGTGACGCAAGTTATAGGTACGTTCGAGCATTAATTTCAGCTCGAGAGCCATTAACGTGTGTAGCTTATCTCTCGATATGAGGCACTCCTTATTTGATATGATGCTTTCTTTCTAGGGCAATAAAGCTCCTATCATAATCTTTCACCGTAGTCGTATTACTACTATTAATTAAAGCTAAGTAATAGGTTTTGGTTGAAAATCATGCTCAGGTATTGTCTTTCCCGTAAAAAAGCCTCCAAGAATCTATTACTTATCTGATTGCATTGTTTATCCTGTTTACGTATTGTTTATCCAGGTAAAGTGCCGCTAAAAATAAACTTAGCTGACAGAGGGAAAAAGAGTACGTGAATGATTGCTATCTCAATAACCGGAGATACGGTGGTCGAGGTCAGATAAAGTATCGAGATGTGTACGTTGTCCAGATCGGGAAATAACTCGAAATATGCGCAGTAGTTGCTTGTGGCCGTATAGGTCCCTGAGAATCAATTGAGTGAATTTACTGTGTTCAGAAAAAAGGAAATTACTTGGAAGACGTGCAAAAGTGGCGTTTTTCCGTAGGTGCAGAAAATTGGGTGAGCGAATGTTTTTGTATTGCTCTTCCTGCCTTGCCAAATAAAGAGCGTGCACACATCTTTATCTAGCTTTCATTCAAATTACATCGCAATGAATTTGCTAAAATGGGAAATTATTTTACCAGCTGAAATTGATTTGCACTCTAAAATGAGGCTTTATAAAAATTTTCAACGAATTTTTAGTTAACAATTCTATTTATATTTTTAGTTTGCTATTCTATGTAGGTATTATATAATGCACTCCTTTGCATTGTTTAGACCAAATCATGCGGTCCAATCATGATAATTTGTGAATTGCATTTAAAGTCAGTTTAGATTGGGTTATTCTTTATTGTATTACGAGATTAGGAAAATTAATTGCTACGTCGGTTTAATTTTTTTCTTCATTACAACTGGACTTGATAAAATTGTCTACATTTGGTTACTGTGAAGCCGTAGCTCATTTCTAAAATGTAATTTTAAATTCATGTGTAAAATCCGAGGCGTTAAATGAGAACTTTAAATAGAAATATTGAAGTGTAAATTTCAATAAATAAATATTGAAATAATTAGTTGAAATATAAATTCGTTTCAAACATTTACCCGTACTTTGTAGCTGTAATAAATGATCTATATTTGTCATCAAATTGCTGACCATATCTTGATAACAACTGTGCCTAATTTGTCGAGAATTCGTTCATTCATTTTCAGACGAGTTGATTGCATCAAAGAATTTTTAGAATCTGATTTATTGTGACTGATTATTAATGAAGTGTGCTTATATCACTGTTATATCAGTAAAGAAATATCCGTATTAAAGGTTTACAGACTGTTGATCAAACAATGTGCATTTGCTGTGGGATTTCTGTCTAGTACATATCTTGAAACACGAAACCATATTTTGTTAGTGTGAGATTCAGAAATACTGAACTTGACGGAAAGGAGACGGTGTTCAAATATAGGCGCGATGGTGCTCATACACAAGAAGATATTCCGAGAAGATCGGCTCCTACAAATTGCCCTGGCGTTGTCTGTGCTAAGGATGGTGCCCGATTTGATTCAATCTGCACCGCCCTTGTCTTCGTTGGAGCATAATCCTATGTTTGAGCAGCACGCTGACATCATGGACTACTTCGGCATCACCAGAGACCAAGTCTTGCATCACTTATCTCACGAGCTTCTTGCTCGACTTCATCACGACGAACTACAGAACCTTCTTAACTCTGCCAACATTCATCACCCGGATTATGGAGAAACATCTTTTGAACACTTGCATCACCAGCAGTTTGATCTTGGTGACACGATGGGACAAAGTCCTTGGCGTCATCATTCCCGCATTTCCAGGCATCTCGATGGTCCATCTTACGACTGGAACGTGCCTGAGATTTTGCCCAGTGTGTCCCTGAAAGAGAGGGAGGCTGTGATGGAAAGACTCATGGCTCTGGCTGATGGTAACGCCAACGCCCGACTCAACGGTTTGGTGAGTGGCCGTCGTGTACCCATTCTTGAAACAACCTCTCAGCGACAGGGTCCCAATAGTGAGCTAGTGCCTTCACCGAGCAAAGGCGACGCAATACCTACTGAAGACATTAATGTTGGAGAAGAGAATCAAAGATGCGTGCAGCGCCGAGCAGAATCTTTCAACATCCAAGCATACATGCTGGTAGGACAGACTACTGTCATTCCTAACAGCACATCAGCGAACGGCTCACGAGACGTATTGCGTCCTCTCACGAACCCCACACCTCCTTCTTCTGCGCCAGCATCTCCTCCACCTTCTTCTGCGCAACCAGCTACTCCAACGTTACCGGATCATTCCACTCCACCGTTATCGCCCTTGCCTCATGCCCACTCCTCTGAGGACTTTTCTTCTTCTTCCTTGGATAACACTGCTGCTGCATCCCATCCTGCATCTTCTCGTTTCATTCGAAATTTCCCGCTCCTGGGCCTGTCCACGACTGGCCTGCGCGTGAACGAAGGACTGCTTTTGCCTGCATTGCAGGCCGCTCTGCCCTACATCGACGAGTTCACCATCGAGGTTAGTGCGCCGGCGCCCCTGTCCTGGTTCTTCATCAGGAGTGTGACACAAATATTCTTCCTCAACGAACTAACCTAATTCATGCATGTATTAATTATACCTAACCAATTTGTGTGTCGATATTACATTTTTGTAGAGAATTGCATGCGTACTTATTTTTTAAACTTAAACTTTGTTCATAACCAAAATTGTGTGTTTCGTGCGGGGTTTACGCTTTTTCTGTGCTTGTGTCAGTGCGAGTTAGCAAGCATTTACTGTAACAAAATAGTACTTATGATATCTGAATATATCATGTATATTCATAAATTGAATAAAACGTGAGCTTTTACCCGAATTGAGATCCTCCTGTGCGACTTCCTATCAGCAGGGTTTTGTTTGAAGCCTGTAATGATTTACCTACTTATCATGTTTTTTTCCTGTTTTGATATCGTGATTTTTTCAGAAGGTTACGTACCGTATTTGATTGCGTAAAAATGCATTCAGAAAATTTTCTCTGTTGTCTACTGTCTAGTGTTTGAAATACAGTGAGCATTTCTAAACTGCGCATAATTGTCGACAAATTATCTTATCAGTTAATAAATTAAGACAATTATCACATCATTAAGCAAACTCGTTTAGAAATCAGTGGTGCCAAAGCGTGGATTGCGATATTTTGGCAATCAAAAATTTTAGGAAATTTAGCTAATCAGCTCAATTTTGGCAAATTGAACTGATGTCTCTTGCATTAATCGTGACGCGGATTTCTGTCCACTGCAGGAAGGAACCTTCGAGGAAATCTCGGGAAAACATGCTCCAAACTGGAGTCTATTGAGGAAAATTCTGTATTGGCAAGAATTTTAAGTTTTTAAACTATTAATTACTTATATTGCAATATTATATAATTGTTGCATTTTGAAGTGAGTTAAGTTTTGCAGGAGAATTGTCAATAGGATGTCATTATATGGGCCGTAATGTGCTCATCAAGCACATTACAGGCATTCATAGAAACTGCATACGCATTTCAACTGTCGATGAAGTTCCCTCTTTATAAGTCTTCAAGACGGCAACCCGTTAGACAAAAGAATAGAATAGAATAGTGAATTCAGCGTTGATTAGGCCATGTTGGTCTGTCGGCAATTTTCAACCACACGGTCACTCCGCCGAATCGACCGAAATTTTCAGAACTAGTTGCGCGTTCCGAACACCCCCTCGCTGCTCTTTTCTTGATGCTGCTTCTCGATCTTGGCCACCTCGAGTTTAACGCTTGGGGCACAAAGTGGTATTGAACGTGTGTTGCTGGAACGTACCGTGCTTCAAAGTGTTGTTGATCGCGTGTTGCAGGAGCGTGCCATGCTACTATACTAAGTAACGTTGAACGTGTGTTGCAGGAGCGTGCCATGCCACAAAGTAACGTTGAACGTGTGTTGCAGGAGCGTGCCATGCCACAAAGTAACGTTGTAAGTAACATGACCGTGTGTGGCAGGAGCGTGCCGTGCCACAAAGTAACATGACCGTGTGTGGCAGGAGCGTGCCATGCCACTAAGTAACATGACCGTGTGTTGCAGGAGCGTGCCATGCCACTAAGTAACATGACCGTGTGTTGCAGGAGCGTGCCATGCCACTAAGTAACATGACCGTGTGTTGCAGGAGCGGGCCGTGTTGCAGGCGCTATGGATGCAGGATCAGGACCTGGGTGTGCCGTGGGACATCTACGAGGAACCCGAGCCTCCTCTCCTGCAGGTGCGTGCTACGAATGACATGCAGAGAAATGCAGGATATAATGTCCTAATTGTGAAGCATTTTTCGCCCATATGTATGCCATCCTCATACCAGTTAGGCCCGGCAAAAGGGCGTATCAGTGCTACGTCCTCTTTATGATCGTGCTGTGGGTGAGAAAGTGCGTCACAATTTGGACAAAATGATCTATCGATTTTCTTTATTGAGCTCGCCTTTTGGTAGTATTAATTGTATTGAGGTGGTTGCTTTATAAAGCCTGGTTGACTATAACACACGAGGTGCTCAAATACATTTTTTTCAAATTATTGATCACCTGAAAAGCCTCTTGATACAGGCATATAGGAATGCATCAGAAGTGCACCCTAAATATTACACTCAGGGCTATTTGTGTCTCGGGTCCATGGTGTGGCACTAAGTTGTTTGTAGGCAAGATCTCTTGCAAATTTATTCTCGTTGTCTCTTCTTTTGGAGGCTAACATACCATTCATCGACATTTTTTGCGAGCTTCTTCTATTCAAAACTAACCTAACTATGCGCATAACGCCTTTCTCTTCTCTTTCTTGTCCTTTGCTTTCCTCATTCTATATCTTCCGGCCACTCTGCTCTACCTCCCGTTTTTTACACTCTTTCCTCATGGCATCGTAGAAACAATTTCTTCCCTTCTACTGCTAACCGCCTTACACTCTCTCTGTTCTTCGTCTTCTTGAGATGCACCTTCTGCATTATGTGGGCGATAAGGTATTTCTTATCACAGTACGATACGATTATCGATATCTGTATCCTCGCTACCGACGTTTTCTTTGTGTTTATTATGTTTTCCTCCAACTGAATTATTTTTTCTCTTGAGTTACCTAAGATTTTCGTTCAATATTGAACGGTTTTAATGAGCACTTGAAGCATAATTCTAATTCTGCTTATTACACTTGTTTGTGCCTATTTCGTTTGTCGCCTATAGACAACTTCTCCGTTTCATACATGATTGGTCTTACTCTAACCACTCTTTAATTTGTATTAGTGGCGTCATCGGGTCACCGTTTACCATGTCTTACGATGTATTAATGATTTTAGCCTCAGCTTACAGTCGTACGAGTATTTCTGACCAAATAAATTATAAAGTGAGAAGGAAGGGACATCGAATTTTAGACAACCCTTGAACATGATGAATTAGATTAGAATAAGATTATTAAGAAAGATAATTAGATCTGGGTATAGGGCCCATCGAAATACTGAGCATTTTCGTGAAAACTGGGATGTATGTAGCCTATACGGACTCGGCCTGATGTTGTTTATTTTTTCCTACACTTTGACAGAAACTTTTCCTACACTTTTACTACTTTTTTCCTACACTTACATACAGAATTTAAACTGGATAATGTTGATGATTTCCTTCTTCAAGTTTTCTTTTCTGCATTGTGTAGTAAACCAGATCTCGTGATAGTGGAAGGCCTTTTACTTGTCCTGCTAATGGTTTTTCTGTGATGTCTATTGTTATGTGATGTATTGTTATGTTATGTCTACTATTGTGATGTATTGTTATGTGATGTCTTGTTATTTGATGTCTTGTTATGTGATGTATTGTTATGTGATGTCTTGTTATGTTATGTCTACTTATGTGATGTATTGTTATGTGATGTATTGTTATGTGATGTCTTGTTATGTGATGTCTTGTTATGTGATGTATTGTTATGTGATGCCTTGTTATGTGATGCCTTGTTATGTGATGTATTGTTATGTGATGTCTTGTTATGTTATGTCTACTTATGTGATGTATTGTTATGTGATGTCTTGTTATGTGATGTCTTGTTATGTGATGTCTTGTTATGTGATGTCTTGTTGTGTGATGTCTTGTTATGTGATGTCTTGTTATGTGATGCCTTGTTATGTGATGCCTTGTTATGTGATGTCTTGTTATGTGATGTCTTGTATGTTTATTATTTATTATTCACCCCCTGATGACATGTACAGCAGGAGGAGGTGCAGGAGTTGCCGCTCAAGGGGTTACTCGTGAAAGGCGAGACGCTGTTGTCGAGAGGAGCCTTGGACGCGTCAGGAGACTACACCGCTACTGGCGGTGGCGGGGGCGGGGGCGGTCAGGTGAAATATCTAACATAATAATAACTTATAAATTTACTCGGTCTGTTGATTAAGTGAGATACCCCAGATAAATTTAGATTTAAGTGGTTAATTGAATAGATGCAATATCAAAGATAATAATATCTTTAGTTGTACTCGGTCTGTTGATTAAGTGAGATACCCTGGTTAAACTTAAATTCTCATGGTCAATTGAATAGATGCAATATCAAAGATAATGATATCTTTAGTTGTACTCGGTCAGTTGATTTATGTGAGAGATACCCCAGATAAAATTAGATACACATGGTCAATTGAATAGATGCAATATCAAAGATAATTATATCTTTGGGTGTACTCGGTCTGTCGATTAAGTGAGATACCACACATAATCTTAGATTTAAATGGTCAATTGAGTAGGTGAAATGTAAAAAATAATAATATCCTCGAATTTAACGAGTGAGATACTCCAGATGATAATATCTTCAAATTTACGAGGTACATTTTATATCTCTATCATTTACATAGACTTTAGACCTTGCCAGATATATTCCTGCTGTACGCCCAGCTTCCATTGCTAGACGATACGTTACTAGATTTCTGTCAGCTTCATCAAATTTTATTTAACCTTATTAGCCTGCATTTTGCGCGCTGGTGTGGTTGTAACTTTCCTCGATATTAATTTTATCGAACAATTTCAGGTTTTTTTGTTTGAATTATATTTATTGATGTTGATTGAGCTCGCCTCTTTCATAGCCTCAGACCAACTTGCATAGTGGCACTGAGAGATACAGTTACTCTTATCAGCTTATCATGCTCGAGCCATCATAATTTGCTCCGCACGCATTACAAATATTCACTCAGTATTTTAAATGAAAATATTGTGAAGCTTATTCTGGGCTTGATGAAATTCCGGCGTCTAGTCCAAAGCTTGATCAAATCAATGATAAGGTTACAGTGAGGTAAAGCTCTTATTATCCTATCGATTTTTTGTTTATTACAAAAGTAACATAAGGATGAGGAGGAGCGTCTTGAATAAATATCAATAATTTATCAAGCCCATGCTAGTCTTTCAAAAGTTTTTTAAATATTTCATTCTTTTTTATATATTCGGGTCAAATTATCGTCCAAATTACTGCAATATAAAATAAAATATCACCTCTAAATAGTAGCTGTTATCTCATTTTGACATATATATTTTTTTAATTTTAGTATATTTTCTTGTAGTAATTAGATCTGGCATTAATCAATGTTAGTGCGAAAAATGTCACCCTTAAACCAAAATTTAAATTTAAATTTCACACATGCGGAGAATATTAAATTAAAGAACTTTATCGCGTGTTAATTATTTATATCATTAAGCTAGTGAGCGAAATAACAGGAATCTAAATTTGAGACATGAGGAGATGTTTAAATTTCTGAACTTATTCCGCCGTTAAATAATTACTAGCATTAATATAAGCGTGGTTTGTGCGCAGCCTGAGGGTGACGCGAGCGGCTACAGCGGTGAAGACAGAGAGGGCGCTTGGACCAGTCTTAACTTCACCCTAGACGCCGAGACAGGTAAGTTAATTACTTAATTATAATAGGTGACTAAATGTTATGATAAAGAATTAAAGTGTAGTGAGTTTTGAGCTTCTGCATGATAAAGTCTCATGGCCATCACGTGCTACGCGTGCAGTAATGCTGAGCTGTAGCAGAATGAGTCTCATGGCTATCACGTGCCAAAGAAATGTCTGCGAGATGATAAAAGCTGTAAAAGCAGATTTCTGACGTGAATAACTGATTTTTCTCCCGTAGATTTTTTTTTCAACCCGTAGATTTTTTTTTTCAACCCGTAGATTTTTCTCAAACACGAATAACACTGATTTATTCGTGTTTGCTGGAAAAGTTAACGGCTCAATTTCTGTAAATATTTCAAAGCATGTTTTTCATGTTTGAAGATATTACATTTTATGATGTTTGTCGACGTTGATAACTACTATATAATTTAGTCCTTTAGAATACTGCTGTTGCTGTGAATGTTTTTTGACTGAAAATGTTTATGATGCCTAGGGAGACGCAAACAGTTTTACGTGAATTTTTTTAAATAAATGAATACATTCCGTGTACATGACCGAACTAAGGGTCCGACCGAATGTCGACGCGCCTTTTCTTCACCTCGCAATTCAGGGCTTTTTATCCCCAATTGCATGGCAATTTCATCCTAAATTACAATTTCGTCAACGCGCTCGCGACGTCGCCCAATTTTTGATATAGATTTATTTCTGTGTCCATATTCCTTGTCTACTTCTTACGCTCTCTGAGTATCGAAGTATCGCCATTTGAGTTTTATTCGTGCTCGGTGTTATTTTCAACATTCTTTTGAGAACAGAACGTCTCGAAGATTCCGGTTTCATTTTTCATTTACTGCGTTATTCTCAAGTACGTTTCCTTCGGAATAATTAACCAGTGTTATGTACAACAAATATATTGAAAAGAAACGGCACAGGTAGCATAAATCTGTATGAGTTTCGGAGTTTACTGAAGATGAAACGTCGAGCTGTAGAAATGCATATGAGAATGCGTATAGTTTTGAAACGCTAATCTAGTGCTATCACTCATCATTCATTATCATTATGATTTATTTATATTGTCATTTTTCATCAATGTTGTGTTTTTCTTTCATTCTTTGTGATTGTATTCGTATAGAATCAGTCGCAATGAATTGATTTTCACATATAGAATAGTTACGGGTTAATACATTTTTTATCAAGTTTTCTATGAAATCGCCAGTCATAGAAACGAGCTTATATTTATGGCAAACTACTAAAAAATCGCATTGAAGTTCTTAAATCTACTTCAAAGGTACTGTATTGTGTAGCGTCAGAAGTAAGCTTCAGTAGCGTGTCAATATTAATTTACAAATCAATATTGTAATACATATTGAAATGTAGTAGCAAAGGTATGTACAAATACATTCCTTCGCTATGAAAAACGAGTGTTATGCTTGAAACTAACTTTCCCTCAGGGGGGACTTCTGACGCGTGTCTGTGCTCGTCAGAAGTCCTATGGGATTTCGCGTTCCTAGGGGGATTGTTCCTGAGCGCCCCACCACTGAGCTCGCGGTGTCTGACTGCAGGTCTCAGTTGTGGAGTTGAGTTATTATGTAGGTAGGATTCCTTACATTTTCCTTGTCACTTCGTCTCTTTGAGATGCTAACGCTGCTTCCTTCGAGCCAGCTTCAGCGGGCTGGACATCTGAGACCTTCCGCCCCTTGTGGGTGATGAATAATTGAGACCTTCCACCTCTATGGTGATGTTCATCTTGACTTTCGGTGCGAGATAGCTAAATGGCTGAAGCGCTAGTAAACATTTGGCCACTAAACAAACTAACTTGAAACTAACTTCGGTCGAGTTTAACCGCATTGTAAAGCGTTTTGTTTTTTGAATCCATAATCGGGTTGACAATTAAAATTAAAAAAAAATTCATTATCCTGAAACTTTTTGTACGTTTTTGTAAAATTTTACCGTGCATTTTATTTTATTTTTTAGATTTCGTTCGCAATGTAAATTGTACCAATGACTAGCCGGCCGCTTCTCGTGTACTCAACTCATGTTTCTGATGAACTTGACATGATCGCTTCGGGCTGCCTCATCTTAATATGCCGACTAACGTTACACTTAATCCACTTACACTAGCTTCCTACCTCATCCACTTGCTCGTCCCGCCTTCGTCGCACGAGCTGCCTTCACGAGCGGAAATATGAGTCCAGTTTTCGAAGCCTCTTGAGTGCGTTCCCTTGGATTGTTTGTTTTCTCGCATCATGATGATAACTTGAATTATTAATTCGACGTCTCCGGTTACTGAACATAATTTAGTTGTCATTAACTGAAACTTGTTCCTGCACTCATGAGCTGCGGCATTGATTTATTGGACTTCTGCACGTAATTTATTTCTCTTTCATGCAAAACTCGTCTGCTTGCATCCGTTCAACAATTGATTAAATAATTCATTAATTGATAAGAACTTAAGGTACCCAGTATGTTCAATAGCAGATTTTATTTTGTTTCAAATTATGTGTCATTTTAGTGCATAGCGTTCAACCGTTGCCCGTTTTGCGATCTCTTGATCGCTGCTTGCCGAACTGCTGCCTCGGCAGGCTGGATCCTCATTCTGGCTTTTAATGTGACCTCTCGCATTAAGCTTTTCAGTGTCAAGTCTTTTTTCGTTGCACTAGAGATTTCTCAGATCTTTCTATAGCGTGGCAGACATCTCATTGTGATACTGAAGATGGAGAAGGCGTTTCTTGTCCATTTGAAGTGGCGTGTTGCTTGAGGTCTTTTCAATTATGGCTCTTTGTTAGGTGCTGAGGCTGTCACCCAGGCCTTGGATGCCCTAGCAGACTCGCAATTATCGCCCTATAAGCTCCGTAGTGTGGCAGCTCTAATGACTGCTCTCAAATCACCGTACTCCGCACCATGCACCAGGTATCTGACGTAGAAACAACGTTGCATTAACGTTGATTCTACATTGCAACGTTAAATTCAGCATTGATTCGACGTCAGACGTATGGAATTAAGTCTCGCGCAAGGATCTCGCTGCCCATCCTCCTGTTGCTTCCGTTTAATATAAATCAATGTTGTTCGTTGCATCACGCTATTTTTATGCATTTCAAGCATCGTAATTTGTGTCGAAATGTATGTTAATGGAGCTAGCTTGGATATTGTTGAGGATCCTTCTTGGGTTTAACTAGCTTCTGGAACGTACGGAAGCATCAGCGATCGCCGAGTTACCCCGTAGTCTCAATTTGGATTGTTTTATCTTGAATTATAAATCGGATCTGTCAATTATAAATCGCCAACCGCATCCGGTGTACAAAAAATATATTTATTTATAAAGATAATATTGATATTTACTAGCGCTCATCTACGAATTATGCCGATTAATTTTTCAAAAGTCGAGCTCAAGGCATTGCAGCTCTGTCGTTGAGATCTTCTATCTTAATTGCATTGTAATATATAATGAATTTCATTTCATTAGCTTGCTTAAAGTGCAAGTTTACCAAAAATTTAAATAAAAGAAAATGACAAGTATAGCCAAATTATCATTAAAAATATTCTTTTCATGAGTTCAAAATTACATTATATTAGCATAAGAATACGATGGAAAAATGTTTACAGAGGAGATTAATACCGAAACAAATTAAAGCGACGTAACGTAAAAATCGATGTTAATAATTTTAAAGGTTTAACTAACTTTAACAGAAAGGATATTACGTTGTTGAGCTTTTCATCATTTAGGTTCTGTGTAAATTAAGTTGTCCGTTTTGTGATTCATGTAGTACTGTAGTACAAAATTTTGATAAAGCTAGGCTGCTGAATCATATCCAAAAAATTATGGCGAAATTTTTTTCCGTTAATTTTGCTTTAAATTACTTGTTGATGAAAAGCTAATCACTCAGTACGAACAAAGATTTTTATGCGAGCTGAAAGCCGATCGAATCACAAAATTTCTGACTGCCTTGACTGTAAGCGTTTGTTGGCAATTGTTTGTTGAAGTGTTTTGATCCATCTATTATCCTCACTAATATTGCTCTATGTCAGAGATAAGTAGGAATTTCCGGTGAATGCGTAGGCGTTAAGTCTATTTTCAAGAACTCCTTGAACTGACCATTGATGTTTCAAGTTATGTTGACATGTAGAGTGACTTGGGTGGGCGTTAGTGAGGACCCTTGAGATGCGATTCCATCACTTGTGTAAGCGGGTGCTCACTTTGTGTTCCAAGAAATGTTCATGTTATTATCGTTGCAACGGGCTTCTTGCTTACACATGCGTGGTGTTTGTTGTGTTTGTTGGTGCGTGTACACAGACTCGGCGTGTGTTGCGGTCTGGCAGACCTGGAGAGCCAAGCTGTCAGATGCTGGCCAAAAACGGCCAAATCAACTCGCAAAAAGTCTAAAAACGGCCAAAAATGCAAATTTTATGAACACAATTGTAATTTGCGGTGCAGCAATTTAATTTTTTGGAGTTTTTACCCTTTAAAAATTACACAAAGCGTAAGACCGACGTATATTTATGCCGGCCAATTAAATTGAGAAAAAGTCAAATCAACGATTTTAGCCGGAAAAAGGCCCGTCTGGCAACTGTGCTGGAGAGGAGCAAGCTGTTCTTGGTGCTGTCGAGCGCTCGCAGGCGTCACTTCAATCTTGCTGAATCACGAGGGGCATTTTACTGAGCCGCTGCTTTTGGATACATCTGCTCTGTCGCTCCCTTCTCTGGCTTTCTTTTTCCCCCGTGTGTTCTTTTCTCTGCATCATTTCCTGCCTGTATCTACGCTCAATACATTGATTAGGCCGCCATCTGATGGATGTGCTGAGCCCTACTTGATGCTACCCTGTATGCCAGTTTCCCTTTGAGCCAACATTCAAACGCTCATCTGGAAACTAAGAACGATCAGCTGAGGTGACGTTCCATTTATGAATTTGACTTCAGAATACTTTTATTTGTGTTCTTTTGTTTTTGTTTGCGTTCAAGTTCATTCCTCTTACATCCCGCGTAAAAGTAGTTGTTTTCGAATTTTAA